GTGACATATAGTAGCCCCCTAGCTCGGTTTTATAGACGATTGCTCTATATTTTCAGTCTTAAAACCAATTTGATTTGAGCCATAGCTTTTAGGTACAAAAACTATGGCTCAAATGATACAAGAACTATGAAATTTGAGCCATAGTTTTTCAGAATCAAAATAATTTAAACTAATATTCAAAATTAAAAATTTTTTACATGTTTTTAACAATATCAAATCAAGACTTTTAATTATATTAATATTATACCCAATATTAATGAAATATAGGAAACCATAATACCTCAACGTAAAGTATATAGCTTCCGAATCTCGATGTTAAGCCATTAGTAGGTGTTTTAACTTTCAGAGCAGCATAAATCACTCTTGATCCATCATTTATTTTCAATATATTGCTGGATACATGTACCTTAGAGTATGCTGGGGAAACTTTTTAACTCATTTATGATTTAATCTAAATTTAATCTGTCTCAAATATGCTACAATGAATTTTATTCCATTTTGTGTTATACTTTTTTTGTTTTTGATTTTTTTTCATAATATTTTTGACTCATTTAATAATTTTCAAGAGTCATTTAAGAAAACATGTCAACTTATTAAGAGTTATGTGTGTATCGTTAGTTGTTTTGTATCATAACCTTTTCGTTATATTAAATGTGTCTTAAGGACACTAAAATGATGATAATATAGTATTGATGAGTACATACAAAAATTCATTGATATTGATGTTAATGATAATATTTTTAATGTTTGTGCATAGGGTTAGTATTTCATTCTGTTTGCACGCCATCATATTATGAATTATGGTGAAGGATTGAAACAAAGCATTTTAAGTTTAAGAAAAGTAAATGAAATCTTCATACTTATGCAATGTTCTCGTTGTTTCTTTTTTTTTATTTTGGACTTCCCTACTAATCTTAATAAACAATAATTTTTCTTGTGTTTGTCGCCTGTTTTTTTTTACAGTTCATAACAATTTCGAGATGTTTGCATGTAAAATTTTATAAATTAAAAAAAAAAATTATAACTTGCTTATAAGAAAATTTATTTAATTTTAATCGAACTTGAAATCTGATAACACATTTCTTTCGATCCACGCTTTGCTGCATTCAGTGTTTTTATTTAAATTTTGCTTATTTTTAATGACTCTTAGCTGTTTTTCGTACTTAATATAAACAATATGATAAATATAAACACATACAACTGTTTATATTATGAATTTCAAAAAAAATTTGCGTACAATTTATGGCACTTCTTAAAAAAGTTGATGTTTAAGTATCTGCTTTTTAAAAGTTTCATTTAAAAAATATGTTAAAGAACTTAAATGGCAAAGAAATAATTTATTAAAATTGAAATTTTCCCAATACAAACGCTTTTGAAATGATTTTAAAATTATTTTATTTTTAATTATTGCAACCTTGAAATATTTTATTCTAAAAACCTATCAATAATTGTTTTACAAAAAAAAATTGATAAAATATTTTAAAAACTCGGATGAAATACTAGCGTTGGAAGAAGATTTATGCAGCGTTAAAATTGATATCCAATTTTTAACATAGACATAGACCTTTTATACAGTTTCCACTAAGTCGAACAAAATGCACTTGGAGAAGGAATTCGCATGGATAGTTTTCACCACATTGCCGTTATACGAACTTATTCTTCAAAAGAGTCGGAACGGCTTCTTATAGTCTAAAAATCATAAATTACATAAAGTCACTGCCATATGCAACAAAAAAAAATCAGTAATAGATTACTGATAGAGCAGGACCTTTTCCTTCCCTTTTTGAACCCACACATATCGCGAAATATCCTTAACGCTCCATTAGAGCTACACTACTACTCCAATATGTTTACTATAATTAAACGTTTATTTATGGCTGCCATGATTCTATGCCTAAAATAATTATTATCGAATACTGTTTCTATCAATCCTAATTCTATTAAAATAATCTTTAAAGGACATCCTTTGCTAAATCTCCAGAAACACAATGAAGAATTTGTTGTTCATTATGTTTTTGGAGGTTCCTAAAACTTTCTGTACAACGAGCTTAGCTGAAAAGAAAAACAATTTTGAAAATTACTGCATCATCTGAAAAATGTTGAAAAGCCAACAAAATTTCGTAATAAGATCTGCAATCATTTCATCAAATGCAACTACTTTACCCAATCCATGCAAATTATGTATTTACATTCTATACATGCATATGTACATACATACATAGATTAAAAATTAGCTTTCAATTTCTTCGTTTTAAATACTACATGAATGTGCAGCAACAATAGCCAAAAGAAAACAGCTTGAATATTAAAATAAACTTCTAAAATCAAAAGAACAAGTGGTTTTTTATGCACACACATATATACGTATGAAAAAACTTTTTCCACCGTTCCCTTTCAAAACAAAATAAGACACTTTGTTATTCAGGCAATTTTTTATCAAGAAAATATGAAAGGAAACGCAACAGAAAACTCACGCAACACAATATTTTTCTTGACCATTTCATTAACAAATTTTTATCCCTAAAATCAAAACGAAAACAAAACAGCTCATAATTATCAATCATTTCTGAGTGGAGTAATAGAAAAAAAATTAAATTTTTATTTGAAAATTTTAAATAAACAACATCAACTCTCTAACGTTCGTTACAACCACTAAAAATTATAATTTTTTGTTCAAAAAATTTTAATTAAATTTCTCCTATTTACATTGGTTCCTTACGATTTTTTAAAGAAACAATGTTGAATTGAAACATTTGATTCATAAACAAAAAAATTCAGTTAAAAATTAAATAACGATATACAAACACTACCACATAACTACACACATTTAAGAGTAATTAAAAAAATTAATTTCATTTCAATTCCGAAAGTTACAACAGCAGCAATTATCATCACTTGGAACATGTAAAAAAAATATAAAATATTGCGATGCAAATGAAATGAATTGAAAATTTCACCATTATTAATTATGTTGAAATTTTTTAATTTAAAACAAAACCCGAATATAATAATAAGCTTTTGAGTTTCGTTTAGCCCAGAAAAGCAAAAAGAAATATACAAATGCATTTACATACAATACTCGTAGCTATGAATATGTTTAGCAACAAAAGATAACAGTTAATATTTTGTTTCCCATTTGTACCCTTTATATTGACTTGTTGTTTATTTTAAAATTTTTGACTGTTGTCAGTTTGTACATATGTAGTTGAAATCGTAGCGGTCAATCAACGTAGAATTAAAACCATCGACATTATTATTATTATTTTTGTACAGTTTAACATACAACTTAAGTAAAGGAATCTCATTAAAAATTACTTAACTATACTGACTTTTCATAATTTTTACAAAAAGCTACAAATTTCATATTATACAAACTCGATGGTTCGATCAAATCTTTAGCGCAATTTTCTCTGTACGTATATCAACAAATAAAAAACAGATTACATCTTTCAAACCATAATTTTAGACTGTTCAATTTAGTTTTTACCCTGCTATACGCTACGCAGCCGTAAGGGATTATTAAACGTATTAAACGTATAAGTATGAAATATATAGGTATCCACTTGTTTATTATGATAAGAATTAAATATACAGAGATTATACCGAAATACTCGTACAAACGAATATTAACGATGAGGAGAGATCATTTTTTTAAACGGCCATCATTGTTAATTGAATCAATTTCAGTGAAACGGAACGCCGGAACTCAATTGAATTTTTTTTCCATTTTGTTGTTGTTTTAGTTTTATTTTTATTTTTTTTAGAGTCGCAAACATTGTAAAATATCATCACATCAGATTAGTTGAGTGGTAACCGTTGGCGCGATTAGTTCAAATTTTTGAACTATAAGTTTTATTATATTTGTACTAAGGCTACATATTTATTTAAAAAAAATTAATAATTGGAGGGGAGGAAAAAAAATTTTTTTTTTGTAATAACAAAATATATGTGCAAACACATACATACATATATAATAAAAATTATAATGGTTTAATTGAGATAATTATTTTAAATAATATAAAGGTGAAAATAATAATGAAAATTACGACAAAAAAATTTTTTTGCAATAATAAAGTTAAACGAAATTAAAAAAATTAATAAATTCGAAAAAAAAAAATTTGGAAAAATTTGAATTTTATTTTATTTTTGTAATTAAATATTTTAAATTAAAGAGGATTTATTTCAAATGAAGTGATAAAAGAAATTTTGAAGAAAAATGAAAATGATTTTTAATAAATTTATAACAATAATTAAAATATACAGGACAAGTGTAAAAAAATTTTAAAATTAATATTATAAAATTTTTTTCGCTAAATCAAAGCAATTTAATTAAAAAACAAATTAAACTTGAATATGATCAGATGATTCTTTAGTCTTTATTAAATAATTACATTTAAATACTCTCCTTATACTGTCATTTAACTGTCAGCGCATTTTTTTCTCGTAAACATTTGTGTTCTCTCGCTCTAATAAGTTTTAATAATAGCAGAAGTAATTATTAAAATTTTTTAAAAGAAAAATATCAAAAATATATAACTACTATCAAAATTATAAATATACACAAAATACACACACACAACTAGTGACATAACTAAGTAACCAGTGACATTTTTATTTAATATTATTTTTTATAAATTATAAAAATTATTAAAAAGATATTTAAAATATGAATTTTTCGTGAATAAAATAATTTTAATTTAAAATTCTATTTTTATATTTTTTAAATTATATATATATACAAAATTAAAATAATTTTATATAAAACAAAAAAATAAAAATTAAAAAATATATAAAATTTAATTAAAATGCCACCTTGTGTTAAAATTAAAAATTTTAATAAAATTTTTTTACAAAAGAATATTAATTATTTTATGAAAATTTCAATTATAATTTTTATAAATATTTTATTATTATTACCAATACAAATTGATGGTATAAAAATTAATAATGAAAATGTTATAAATACATCAAAAATTTTAATAGATCGTATTAAAAATAATATGACAACAGCATTATTAGCATCAACAAACAATAATTGGAATATTGATAATGATTTAAATACCATTAACAAGGATTTAAATATTAAGGATCAATTTCAATCATCAGTCGAAATAATATCAACTGAACATATAACACAAGCATGTATTGATAAATGTCCACAGGAGGTAGGCATTAATTGTTGTTACTTTTAATTAAAATAATATGTACATATACATATATAAATATATACATATGTGCAATTCAAGTTATATACATATGTATAATTTTTTATACATTTATATTATTAATTTTTACAATAATAATTAAAAAATTGTAAAATTTGCATTTTTTACACAATATTATATGATAAGAATAGCATAATATTATTTTGTATGTATAATGGTTTGTGATGCTGAGCTATTTTGAATTGTTGCGAAGCTCCTAGTTATAGGACCATACAATTTAAAATGAATTTGTTTTGTTATATTTAAATATGGGAATAATTTAAAAATATGGGTTTAAATTTTATAAATGGAAATTTTGTAGTGCGCCATATAAAACAATGTGGTCGAAGGGAGCAATTTATAAAAAAGACAAAATCTATTTAGAGCAGTCATTTTCATTGTTTCGCCTTATTATTTTATAATTTATTTTGGTTCATAATTATGTACATATGTACTTTGTGATTGCTATTTGAATATTTTCATAATTTATTAATTATGTTTTATTTACTCGGCGCCCTACACGATTTGCAAAATACTCGCCTCCACCCCCATCCCTTCGCTGAACAATATGCAAAGACATTGCACATAATAAATCACTTTCTTGTAACTTTATCATGCTGAATTCAAGATTAGTAATAAAATGAAACCCAGAAATTAAATATTCAGCTTTTTGTTTTGCAATATTTTGTATACGTATACATCTTACCAACCTAATTTCTCTGTATATAGAAACAGAAAACAATTTTGACAATACGCAATTTTAATTATTTTAATTGAAAAAAATTTATATTTAATTTATTTTTGTCTAAGTTTTCAATGCGGCCCCTGTTTTTCGGTGCTCATTGCAAACTCTTACTTTGCATATATGGTAGATCCGTCGCTGAATATGAGTATAGAAAAAACAGTAATGAAACGGCTGTAAAACGTTTCACGCATGTATTACGAAAATCGCTTTAATTAGTTCTATAACTACATATTATACTCGTATTTAATATGTCAAATCGTTCTAAGTAAGCCTTCAACGTATTTCTTACCAAACGTGCGTAATTCAAACAAATGGAAATTTTTTTAAAGCAAGCAGTTGGAATTATCACTTTTCAACAAGCTATTTTATAAATTCTAGAAATAAGTAGTTATCAAATTAATCAAGATTCGCAAAATGTGTTTTTTAATGTCACATCATTTTTCGAAGAATAAAATTGACTGATTCATGCATACGAGTAAAACGAAAATAAAAAGTTCAGCTAATACGAGTATTAATTCTAGGGCAATTGAAAATAAGGAGATATTTAGGTAAGATCAATCCAAATAAGAGTAACAACAATTTTAGTTGATTGTTACATTTTACATTCATTCCAACTCAGTTATTATTTTTTTATTATATTTGTTCTGTGCTTAATTAGTTAACTTAATTCTGTGCTTAACTAAACTTATCCATTTATTTTATTTCATTACAAAGTAATTAATGTAAGTACCTGGAATTATTATGATTTTTGTCACAAAAAATTTTTTGACATTTGCCCTAAAAAATAAAGTATGAATTGACGCCATTAAAGTATGAAGTATTATGACGAATTCATTATGAATTGACGCCATTTCGTCAATTCATATTCAAAATATCTAACAATTTCGAATCGAATTCTTATAAATCCTATAATTATTTTCGTAGTACGTAAACGAAATTAGAATAATATTTTTTCTTATAAAGGATAAAAATATAAAATGAGCCAATCATTTACAAAATTAATTTCAAATTTTACCATCCTGATAAAAAAGTAATTAAAAACCAAATCTCATTAGTATCATTAACATTATATATTGATTACATATTAATGCTCCCATATACTTGTTTACATAAATTAGTATAGAAGTTCTTTTGTGTGCCTGTGATAGTATAAAAGTGCTTCTTTAAATTTAAAAAAAAAAAATTGTGTAGTAGCTAGTTGTACTATGAATTTTTTTAAATACAATCAACAGAATAAAAAAAACATACAAAAAATAAAGAATATAAAAAATCGTAATATTTTTTTTTTGTTTAGTCCAAATTGATAACCTTTTGGAGAATTGAAAAGATTTGTTTATTTTTAAAAAATTTTTAAATGTAAGTTGTTTAAAAGTATACTTTCAATTCAATCTATAATCAATTTATATTCAAATATTAATACCGAATGTCTAACATTAAATTCCAAAATCTGTACGTCAATTAGTTCTGGAAAAATTATATCAACAGATTTTCATACTTATGTGAATACAAGAAATTTTTATTATTTTGCTATTATAAGCAAGTTCAGTTAAATATTTTAATGTAATGTTCTGGGAATTTCAATTATTCTATCCATATAAGTTGAATGCTTCTTATTAAACCTACTCACTTAACCCTATTCCACAGATGTGTCAGAAACAAATCATTATAATTATAGCCATAATCAAAATCGAAGGTACATAATATTTAGAAAAAATATAAATGTCATCTTAATGGTGATTTTTACAGACCCTCTGCTTTTTGTTTATAGGCAAGGTTCACAACTTGGAGAATAGATAAACTATAACTATAAGTAGTAGACGTCAACTCTTTTTGATCTGCTCCCCGCTGTTGTAAATCTAATAAACTCCTTACTTTTTGTTGTCATATTTTTTTTTCAGATTTCTACACACTCAACTCTGTTTTTGGAAATACAAATACAAATGTTTGCAGATATCTTCTTGTATATACAAGAAATGACACATCTATGTTACAAATAACAGCAAATAATACGAGTATTAATTTATATGCATTTATTATGAACCACCTTGTACTTGTCCATAAAATTAAAATTCTACATTATATCATTAAATAAGTACTTCTGAAACTGAATATACACACATATAGTATTTTGATTCCTTGTTTTTCCATTGTATGAATAAGGTTTTTTGTTGCCAGAGAATTTTTGATTATTTTTATTTATATATACTTACTCGCATATTATACGAGTATGTACTTCTGCAATAAACGAACAATAATTTATACAAACAACTCTTATGGGAATTAATTTGGTTTACAATGTTTTTGAACTGGTAATAGAGAGTTTTTGTTATTTATACATTCATACATATATATTTATACATATACACAGAATATATACTACTTTTTTTTGAATAATATTTTTATTTCTCATTTTATTTTGAAAATGTTTTTTAAAGTGATCACTTTAAATATAAATTAAATGATTTTTATTGTTTACAATATGTAAAAAAGAACAATTTTTTAATTAAAAAAAAATATATTTATAATCAGAATGCATGCCTAATCGAAGTTAAGTTGTTCAAGGGAAGCAGTTTCTGACATTAAATTCGAAAATTCTAAAAACTTATTAAGCTAAGCTGTTACTTCAGAGATTACAAAAATAAAGTAAACATTAATTAATTATTTCAATTTTCTCTCCTAATTACTTCAAGAAAGCTGAGACTCTACTGAAAGGTGAAATCTAAGATAACAAGAAATGTCTGTAAAATGTTTTCACCAAACAATTATTAAAATTATGTGAAAACATCCTACAAAACGTTATTGATAATTAATAAAAACATTAAAAATTTACTTGGGATTTGGGAATATTATTAAATTTACTATTAAATGATTTTCAATCCTCAAGAGCATATGCAGGATCTAAAATTTATAAATATACGAAAGTTAAATTACAAGAATCATTGTTGCCTAAAGTAATTCCCCAAAGTTAACCATAACAGTGGAAATGTATGAGCGTTCTTAAAAAATATCTTTTATAAATACATGAATCAAAAATTTTCTTATTTTATAATGAAATTTTAATAAATGTTATACATAAATAATATCATAAAAAAACAAATTTGCATATAAGTATTTATACCGTTTACTTCCCGCTTTAGGTGAGATATTGTGCAGCTGTCATTTACTAAACCTCAGAACCTATGTACATAAAATATAATGTACTTATGTCTGTATCTTGTCTCCGGCTGATTTAAATTAAAAAAAAATTGCATTTATAATTGGGGGTTTTGATAGAAAATTTTTTGAAAGAGTTGCCTTTTTTTACATAAATTTTTCTATGACTGTCAAATTTTAAGTAGCCAATTATAAGTAATAATTTTTAAAATTAAACATAAAATTTAAAAACAAAAAAAAATTAAATAAAAAATGGTAATCCCAAGTTTTCTTTTTATAAATTCTTCAAAGATCTTAAAATTTTAATGGTTCAATTATTTCCATCTCAAATATCAAATCTAAAGTTCATCCCCGGTTTGTTTTCCGAGAAACTTGAAAAATTTGACCTGTATACTTACCTTAAATTTAACTATATTTGAGCGACTTTTAAAATGTACAGGACGACCCGAGATAATAAAGTAAACTTCCAATTACCTTATGATTAAGTTCACAATAGTAAAAAATTTTCTTTACTATCTAAAAGCGTCCAACCAACTGATCAAGTTATAATTCCCATAGAAAATGTTTAATATGTTTAAAAATCCAAAAAACAATACTTAAAAAATATTGTGTATATTTTCTAAATTAATCTGAACAAAATAAACAAAATTTGCTTCTTGCAACATTTTACAAAATATTTTCAATGCTTATATGTAGTCTATATGAATATTATATGTATGTATGTAGTTTTAAAAGTACAAGTGTAACCATCATATTTTGCTGTATACATATAAACATATACACCATGCCTACACAATGTTAAAAGTATCTGTCAAAGTTCACTGGAGTAAAAAATAAATTATTGATTTTTGATTATAATCAGAATATATTTTTTAAATTGTAATTTAAATTAAAATTAAAAAATATTTAAAAATATATTATTTATAAATATTGCATATTCATAAACAATGAAAAATTGTTGTCTTATATAATTTTAATGTTTATTTTAAATATTTTGTATTTTTGTTAAACAATCATATTTATTTTATAGTTTCCCTAGTTTTTCACTTTTGTTTTTTCGGTT